CGGAGGAGCAGAAGGCCATTCACTTATTCTATTCTAATTAATGTTATGTGACATGTTATTTTTTTAGCCTGCAGGGAAATATTGTGTTTATGTGCAAAGTAATAAATCGGTATTTTAAGCCCATCAAAGACTCCGCCTCCTTTCATCTGAAGGTGTCCTGGCCACCAGGGGGCGCCCCTGCAGACATGGTTCAGTCCACAGCCGAAGCAAAGAAAACATTTTCTCTCTTTCTAGATCATAATGTCTGATTTTTTAAATGAATTTTATCAGAGAAACAAAGTTTTAATCATCATAATAAAATGAAAGATAAAAGTTCTGGATCCAAACAGAATCCACTGGTGTTCTGGGGTAAGTAAAATCTTACGGTACCAGCAGAGAGTTCTGGTTCCGGTCCATTTACCTTCCAAAGGGAGAAGCAGCAGGTTTCTGATGAAATCAAGGAAACCGGTTAGAACCGGTCCTCTGGCCCAGATCTGATGCTTCCGGAACCAGAGGTTTATTGACATTGACATGTTCATGACAAGGTGAGGTGAGATTGTCATGAACTGACGCTATGCAAATAAAGTTGAATTGTTTTGAATAGAAACTAGACGTCAGCCTATCAGCCAACCCGACACTTGATTGACACACAGGACAACCAATCAGATGACAAGCTTGTTAGCTTTGCTAATTGTTAGTTGCATCCTAATTTTTCGCTCGTTTAGAGTCTAAACTCTGCTCTCCAGAGCGAGTAGATTGGTAGCCCCGCCTCCTGCTCTCCTCTATCTTGTCTGCTGTCATGATTCATGCAGCTATTATTTCATCCAAATGAAAAATGGAGAACAGAGAAGCAGATCATGGCTTGTCTACAGTGAAAAGAAGGACTGGGTTATTTACTTTGGCCTTTTTGGAAACACAGGAAGGAGCAATCAGCTAAGTGAGCTTAGTGCTTGGAAAAAATCTTTCATTCCTTTAGAGACAGCATGAAAAGTCAGCTGAGTACAAAACATAGAGAGGAAAACAAGACGAAAAGGGACAAGAAGAGAGGGACACAACCTAGAACAGATAATGGATGTCTATTCTATTAACATTTCTACATCTGGAGAATAGGGCTGTTTATGTGTTTAGGCCCCCTGCCTGTCTTTGCCTAGGGCCCCACATTTCCTGAATCCGCCCCTGACTGAGGCCTTATGGCCACTGAGGGGCGCTGTGGAGCTACGGTGCTCCTCTTCCTCCTCCTCTTCCTCCTGACTCCTCCCATTGAAAGGAGCAACAATCACGCGCCTCCGCGTCCCCTCACGGCGGCGCGTGACCCTGACGCGCTCCAGTTGCGCAGGTCACATCCAGATGTGCGTCTTGCTCTGAACCAATCAGGTGCGGAGGGGGGGTGAGGGTGAGGATGATGATGGAGCGCGGCCCCCGCACGCAGGGAGTCTCATCGTGAAGAGGAGGTGCGCGTTCCTGAAGAGATCCCGCCTCGTGCTCCCGGATCAGAGCTTTCTGTGGGATCAGTTCGGTTCTGGTTCGGTTTGCTGGTTTTTCTGCGGTACCTCAGCGCGCACGCGCTCAGCGCACCTCTGTCAGCAGGTGATGAAGGGAGCGCGCGCGGTGACGCGGCCAGAGTCTGAACGGAGGCGCTGAGGCGGACCGGACCGAACCGAACCGGACACAGCGGTGTTCGGGTTGGGAGGAGTCGACCCGGTTCGGCGGATCCAGGGAGGGATTCTCCTGGTTTGGATCGGAACCAGGTTTAAGGTAAGACTGAGTCCAGATTCTGCTGAGGTTCGGTCCAATTCGTTAGAGGTTCTGTTGATCTGCCGGTCCGGTCAGACTGGGACAGAACCGCCTGCTGCAGGTTCTGGTCCTGATGGATCCTGGTTCCGCCTCTGGTTCTGGTCCGGTGATCAGAACCATCAGGAAGTGGTCTACAGAAGTTCTGCTGTGAACTGGGAGGGAACCAGAACCGGGCCGGGGTCCAGTCTGGACCGTGTCAGCATTTGGGCCGGTTCAGGCTGGACCGACCCATTCTGTGACCATAAAAAGGTTCTGGTTCCGCTTTGGAACAGGAACCAAACACTCCAGAACCGGCCTGGTTCTGTTGGATTGTTGTTCTGTCAGAACCTTGGTTCTGATCCTTCCTCTCTGATGTGGACCAGCAGCCCCTCAGCATGACACTGCCACTACTGTGCTCCAGGTTCTGGTGTCCTTGGGTCAGGTCCATCAGAACCACTGGCCCGGTTCTACCGCACAGGAAGCGGCTCTCCAGGAAAACATCAGCAGTGAGTTCTGCAGACGTCTGACCCTGAACTGGACCGGTCCGCTATAGAGTCTGGGTCTAATTTTAGCGCCGCTGAACCGCGGGCCCGGTTCCCATCAGAACCACAGGCCCGGTTCCCATCAGAACCACAGGCCCGGTTCCCATCAGAACCACAGGCCCGGTTCCCATCAGAACCACAGGCCCGGTTCCCATCAGAACCACAGGCCCGGTTCCCATCAGAACCACAGGCCCGGTTGAACCCAGCTGAGTGGCGCACAGGTCCGATTATAGGTTCTGGCTGCCATCACTCCCCGACCCAAACGGGCCTCCTGAATGATGTCGGACCCTCGTGGTTCTGTTGGGAAGCAGAACCTCAGTGGGTCCAGATGCAGAAAGTATTCACACCCTGAGATCTGCAGCTCTTCTGTTTCAGAACATCAGATGGTTCCTGAAGGCCAATCTGTTAGTAGAAGATCTACTCTCTATTACTCCAGGCTGACCTGGTTCTGGAGTTGCTGGGTCCATCCGGGTCGGTCGGGTCGGTTCTGGTTCCTGGGTGGAACGGTCCTGTTTGGCAGACATGGTGGACGTCCCAGCAGCTCACGCCGCTCCAGAACCTTCTGTTGGTTCAGGGTTCCTTTGGGACGTAATGAGGAACAGGAAGTAGTTTGGGTCAGAACCAGCTGCTGACCACCGACTCAGAAGTGGGTCGGTACCATGAAGAACCACGTCTTCTGGACCCGTCCTGGTTTCTCACTCTGAAGTTCCCCGCTCCCACAGCTGGACTCTGGGTCCCTGAGCAAGACCCTTAACCCCACACCGCTCTCCGGGCGCCGCACCGTGGCAGCCCGCCGCTCCCCGGGCGCCGCACAATGGCAGCCCAGAACAGATCAGGTGAGTCATCGGCGGCTCAAACGGGATGGACGCCATCTCCTCCTGGACCCTCTGATCCGGGTGATCGTCCATCTCCATCTGTTCCAGGTCCTCCTTCTAGAGGAGCATCTCTGTCAGATAGAAAGCTGGTTGGACGTCTGAGGGACCCTGGAGGAGGCGTGGTCCTTCTGAACCTTCATCATGGCTCCTCCCATCAGCTTCCTCATCCTCAGGACCTTCTGATGCAGGCGGAGGATCATCAGAGGTCAGAAATCGACTGAATTATTGATGAGGAGCGTCGGGTTGGGCCTCCACAGGTTCTCCTGCTTGGTTCTGATTGGTCGCTGCTCTGGAGGAACCAGAACCAGAACCGGTCTTTGCTGCTTCACTGAACCCAGAACCAGGGGAACCTTGACCTCCAGGCTGCAGAACCCAGCGGCTTCATTTGGTTTAATCAGTTATTAGAACCTGGGGGCAGAACCCGGTCAAACCGGGATGACCCGGACCGCCTGGTGGTTCCTCTCAGATCAGCTGTTCTGGTTCTGTTACCCTGACAGAAGAGCCACAGTCTGAATCCGGATCAGAACCGGCGCCGTGTTGGCCAGTAGAACCTCTGAGTGTTCATGTTGGCTCCGCTTGGTTCTGTCTGTGGTTCCGCCAGCAGGCTGGGCCTCCAGGTGAGGCCTGAAAGCTGCCTTTGTGTGGCTGCTGGCAGGAGAGCCGCTAACGTACACAAACCCCCCCCACCCCACCCCCCATAACGGGCGGGGGGGGGCAGCACAGAGAGGTTCTTCAGTTCTGACCCACACAGACCCGGTTTTTCTGCTGGTTTTAAACGCAGACCCGGTTTTTCTGCTGGTTTTAAACGCAGACCCGGTTTTTCTGCTGGTTTTAAACGCAGACCCGGTTTTTCTGCTGGTTTTAAACGCAGACCCGGTTTTTCTGCTGGTTTTAAACGCAGACCCGGTTTTTCTGCTGGTTTTAAACACAGACCCGGTTTTTCTGCTGGTTTTAAACGCAGACCCGGTTTTTCTGCTGGTTTTAAACGCAGACCCGGTTTTTCTGCTGGTTTTAAACACAGACCCGGTTTTTCTGCTGGTTTTAAACGCAGACCCGGTTTTTCTGCTGGTTTTAAACGCAGACCCGGTTTTTCTGCTGGTTTTAAACACAGACCCGGTTTTTCTGCTGGTTTTAAACGCAGACCCGGTTTTTCTGCTGGTTTTAAACGCAGACCCGGTTTTTCTGCTGGTTTTAAACGCAGACCCGGTTTTTCTGCTGGTTTTAAACGCAGACCCGGTTTTTCTGCTGGTTTTAAACGCAGACCCGGTTTTTCTGCTGGTTTTAAACGCAGACCCGGTTTTTCTGCTGGTTTTAAACGCAGACCCGGTTTTTCTGCTGGTTTTAAACGCAGACCCGGTTTTTCTGCTGGTTTTAAACGCAGACCCGGTTTTTCTGCTGGTTTTAAACGCAGACCCGGTTTTTCTGCTGGTTTTAAACGCAGACCCGGTTTTTCTGCTGGTTTTAAACGCAGACCCGGTTTTTCTGCTGGTTTTAAACGCAGACCCGGTTTTTCTGCTGGTTTTAAACGCAGACCCGGTTTTTCTGCTGGTTTTAAACGCAGACCCGGTTTTTCTGCTGGTTTTAAACGCAGACCCGGTTTTTCTGCTGGTTTTAAACGCAGACCCCGGTTTTTCTGCTGGTTTTAAACGCAGACCCGGTTTTTCTGCTGGTTTTAAACGCAGACCCGGTTTTTCTGCTGGTTTTAAACGCAGACCCGGTTTTTCTGCTGGTTTTAAACGCAGACCCGGTTTTTCTGCTGGTTTTAAACGCAGACCCGGTTTTTCTGCTGGTTTTAAACGCAGACCCGGTTTTTCTGCTGGTTTTAAACACAGACCCGGTTTTTCTGCTGGTTTTAAACGCAGACCCGGTTTTTCTGCTGGTTTTAAACGCAGACCCGGTTTTTCTGCTGGTTTTAAACGCAGACCCGGTTTTTCTGCTGGTTTTAAACGCAGACCCGGTTTTTCTGCTGGTTTTAAACGCAGACCCGGTTTTTCTGCTGGTTTTAAACGCAGACCCGGTTTTTCTGCTGGTTTTAAACGCAGACCCGGTTTTTCTGCTGGTTTTAAACGCAGACCCGGTTTTTCTGCTGGTTTTAAACGCAGACCCGGTTTTTCTGCTGGTTTTAAACGCAGACCCCGGTTTTTCTGCTGGTTTTAAACGCAGACCCGGTTTTTCTGCTGGTTTTAAACGCAGACCCGGTTTTTCTGCTGGTTTTAAACGCAGACCCGGTTTTTCTGCTGGTTTTAAACGCAGACCCGGTTTTTCTGCTGGTTTTAAACGCAGACCCGGTTTTTCTGCTGGTTTTAAACGCAGACCCGGTTTTTCTGCTGGTTTTAAACGCAGACCCGGTTTTTCTGCTGGTTTTAAACGCAGACCCGGTTTTTCTGCTGGTTTTAAACGCAGACCCGGTTTTTCTGCTGGTTTTAAACGCAGACCCGGTTTTTCTGCTGGTTTTAAACGCAGACCCGGTTTTTCTGCTGGTTTTAAACGCAGACCCGGTTTTTCTGCTGGTTTTAAACGCAGACCCGGTTTTTCTGCTGGTTTTAAACGCAGACCCGGTTTTTCTGCTGGTTTTAAACGCAGACCCGGTTTTTCTGCTGGTTTTAAACGCAGACCCGGTTTTTCTGCTGGTTTTAAACGCAGACCCGGTTTTTCTGCTGGTTTTAAACGCAGACCCGGTTTTTCTGCTGGTTTTAAACGCAGACCCGGTTTTTCTGCTGGTTTTAAACGCAGACCCGGTTTTTCTGCTGGTTTTAAACGCAGACCCGGTTTTTCTGCTGGTTTTAAACGCAGACCCGGTTTTTCTGCTGGTTTTAAACGCAGACCCGGTTTTTCTGCTGGTTTTAAACGCAGACCCGGTTTTTCTGCTGGTTTTAAACGCAGACCCGGTTTTTCTGCTGGTTTTAAACGCAGACCCGGTTTTTCTGCTGGTTTTAAACGCAGACCCGGTTTTTCTGCTGGTTTTAAACGCAGACCCGGTTTTTTCTGCTGGTTTTAAACGCAGACCCGGTTTTTCTGCTGGTTTTAAACGCAGACCCGGTTTTTCTGCTGGTTTTAAACGCAGACCCGGTTTTTCTGCTGGTTTTAAACGCAGACCCGGTTTTTCTGCTGGTTTTAAACGCAGACCCGGTTTTTCTGCTGGTTTTAAACGCAGACCCGGTTTTTCTGCTGGTTTTAAACGCAGACCCGGTTTTTCTGCTGGTTTTAAACGCAGACCCGGTTTTTCTGCTGGTTTTAAACGCAGACCCGGTTTTTCTGCTGGTTTTAAACGCAGACCCGGTTTTTCTGCTGGTTTTAAACGCAGACCCGGTTTTTTCTGCTGGTTTTAAACGCAGACCCGGTTTTTCTGCTGGTTTTAAACGCAGACCCGGTTTTTCTGCTGGTTTTAAACGCAGACCCGGTTTTTCTGCTGGTTTTAAACGCAGACCCGGTTTTTCTGCTGGTTTTAAACGCAGACCCGGTTTTTCTGCTGGTTTTAAACGCAGACCCGGTTTTTCTGCTGGTTTTAAACGCAGACCCGGTTTTTCTGCTGGTTTTAAACGCAGACCCGGTTTTTCTGCTGGTTTTAAACGCAGACCCGGTTTTTCTGCTGGTTTTAAACGCAGACCCGGTTTTTCTGCTGGTTTTAAACGCAGACCCGGTTTTTCTGCTGGTTTTAAACGCCGCCTGCTTCAGCGGATCTGCAGCCGTTTCTCTTCTTCTGCTGCTTTAATTGCTGCGTTTCTCCTGGATGTTTGGCTTCATGAGGAGAAAAGTTCAGTTACTTGTTTTTCCACCTGATTTCTGATGCGTAGGCAACACGCCATGAACACGGGTTCTGCACTATTAATGTGTTGTCTTCCTTTCAATCTGCCACAACTAGTTAAACTAGTTAGAGCGTCTTAAAGCTATAGAGGAGGATGTTTTATTTCCGGGTGGATCATCTCAGTCAGTGGTCCTCCTAACTGTCAATCATTCTGGTGATAGGTTTCCATACGGCCCTCCTTCGCGTTCGTCCCGTTAGCGATCTGTTTCTTTCAGGCGTAATCTGTGGTGAGCTACGGTTTAATTGAAGCTCACATTTCTCACCGCGGTTGTTTGAAAATGGCCGACGGTCGGTAGAGAAAGTGTCCTTGAAGTGTATGAAAAGAAAAGAAAGGCCTCAGAACAGGCAGATATATCCCAGAATGCTTTGCTCAGAAAGCTCTCCTCCCAAAGCATTATGGGATTCTGCTGTTGCTACCTGACAGCTGTGGAGGAGGAGGAGTTACGTGACCAACGGAGCAAAAGCAGTGATCATCTGTCTGAACGGTCAGTTAACAGAGTTCACTATAAAGTTCACTATAGAGTCCCCGCTCTCTATAGTGATGGAGGGACGGTCGGACACAGTGAGCTGCTATGAGAACATGGAGCCCATTTCTCCTCGTGCACGCTCTCGCACGCTTCTAATTGGCGTTTCCTCTTGTGGGCGGGTACAGGGTTGTGCAAGTGCGTTTTTTTTTTAAAGTGGAGAGGGCGGGTCTTTTCAACAACTTACACCAATCCTCCACTATACCTTTAAGAACACGTCGACTACACGGTGATGTCATGTTAGTATGAGCAATTAAGCTACTTGTCCGGTTTGAGCAGCTGGTCGTCGCTTATTTCCCATTGGCTGCTGAGTAGTACGGTATGGCACGCCGTTTAACATTTATTTGCTTGATTGAATATTTAATCCACGTCTCAAATGCATTTCTCCAAGAATGAGCATTTCATTAGACAACAAGTTAACAACATGCAAACAGCGCAGAAAACGTGTGTTAATCGTGTTTCCTACGTGTCAGAAATCACATGTCATCAAACCATTCGGCTTTCCATACAGAACCTCGCAGGTCTGCAGTTAAAATACGAACTTCGCAGCGATTCGTCTTTTTTTTTTATCAACACGGTTTAACTTTCAGCCACAAGGGGCGCTAAACTCGTAGCTCCCAAGTTAGCGCCCCCTGGCGGCCACTGACAGCAGTCTCTCTAAAGGAGCCGGTCCGTGTTCTGGTTCTGGTCTCAGACCAGTTTGGATCAGCAGGTCTGGAAGTCCTGAAGCTCCTGGTAAACATTCAGCCTCTGGATGAAATCCTCCATCCAAGCACCAGCTGAGGGTCAGAGCTAACGGCGGTTAGCTTAGCTTGTGGCGCTGTGTGTCACAGCGGGAGCATCGATACGCAGCAACAGCTGAAGAAAGACCTGAACAACAAATGAGGCTAAAACTGGGGTCAAAGGTTACGCTGCGTAAACTCTTTTCTAACACAGATAGTCGATGACATCATGCTTCAGTAACTGATGACATCAGCTCCTAGCAACCGGCCTGCTCCAGCTAACCTCCACCCCTTCATTGTCGGGTTCTGATCCAGTCATTCTGGCGGGAAGATGAAGCCGTTGTTTGGCTAACGGTTAGCCTCTCTGCTCTTCCTACCAACCAACTCCCTGCCGCCATGTGGAGGCAGGATGCAGATGGTTGAAACGCTAACTTGGAGGGTCTGCACCCAGAACCAGTCCCTACAGGGACAGATTGAGACGGCGGGCTGCTATTAGGCTGACGCCGCAGCCCTGCCCATCCGGCCCGTGGAGCGGCGAGGAGCGGCGCTCAGTCTAGGCACTGATCTGGGTTCTGTTCTTCTTGTCTGCAGGCGGCGCCCGTAAAGGACATGAGGCAGCAGAGGGAGTCGTCCTCCATCGGGCAGAGCGCGGCTGGATGGCAGCAGGAACGGCCGTCCCACAGCTGAGGAAGGAAGCTCTGAACCTCGGATCGGTCAGTCAGAGGTTGTCATGGTAACACGTCCTCCTCTGCCTCCTTGTTAGAGACTGAGGGGACCCTGGTGAGGCTGCAGAGAGGCCCCAGACCACAGAGACTCAGACCGCCGCAGCCCCCATGCAGGCGCGTAAGAAGTATGTCCTGCTGGGCCTTTGTGCGTGCTCCTGGCTTGTCCTCTTATACTGCGGCGGAGGAGTCCAACTACGTGTGCTGCGCCTGATAACACGCCACCGCACGGAAGTCCTGCACCCTTGGCCCAACTGGACCGACCGGGCCTTCCTGCCCCGCTACGCCCATCTGGACGAACTCCAGACCGACCCAGGGACCGCCGAGTCACCAAGACAGCGTCGACAAGCATGGTCCACCATCTACAGAGACAGCCGCTGCCGCATGGAGACCTGCTTCGACTTTTCTCGGTGCCGGCGCCGGGGACGGGAGGGGTTCAGGGTCTACATCTACCCATCAGAGAAAGGTGAGCGCGTGTCGGAGAGCTACAGAAAGATCCTGGCCTCCATCTCTGAGTCCCGCTACTACACGTCAGACCCTCGAGAGGCATGTCTGTTTGTGCTAGGCATAGACACATTGGACCGGGACCAGCTGTCAGGACAGTTTGTCCCCAACATGGACGAACGCATCCGCAGTTACCCTTCATGGAACGATGGGCGGAACCACCTGATCTTCAACCTGTATTCGGGCACCTGGCCCAACTACACGGAGGACCTGGGCTTCAACGTGGGCCAGGCCATCTTAGCCAAAGCTAGCCTGAACACGGAATACTTCCGGCCCGGTTTCGACGTGTCCATCCCGCTTTTCTCCAAGGATCACCCTCAGAAGGGGGGGGGACGGGGCTGGCTCCTGAGGAATACCACGCCGCCGCGGAGAAAGTACCTGCTGATGTTCAAGGGGAAGCGATACCTGACTGGCATCGGCTCCGACACCCGGAACGCTCTTCATCACATCCACAACGGGAAGGACATTGTTTCCATGACGACCTGCCGCCACGGGAAGGACTGGGAGAAGCACAAGGACGCTCGGTGTGACCATGACAACCTGGAATATGAGAGGTAAGAGCGGGTCACGTGACCAGCTGTGAGGGCGTGGTCTTCCTGTCGCTTCGGATTCTCTCTGAGGTCAGGTCGGCGCCTGAGCAGTTAGATCCATCCTCATCATCTAGTTAGCTCAGAGTACCGCCGAGTCCGAGTCCTTCCAGGCACCGATCCAGTTAATAACCGGTCAGTTTAAAGTCGTAGCAAAGCGGCTGTTTCAACCGTTTCCGAATTCTCCTAGTGGTGCACGACTGAATAAAGTGAATGTGATTGGTCGTTTATCAAGGGGGCGGGATTGTTGTGGCGGAAGGTTCGCAAGCATGTTTGGCTGTGGCCGGTTTGTCCGAAGCATGTTGCTAACCAGTTAGCATCTTAGTGCTAGCAGGTTCCCAATGGGAAATTCCATTGGGACCAAGTAGCACTAAATTGGTGACTTAGAAACGACGCTGTCAAGGAACGCTATGGACAGCGGAAACATGCAAGAGGAGGAGAGTTTAGGGTCGGAGGTCGTGGATGAGTCTCCTCCGTCGTCCATTTTTTTATTTAGAGGAGGAAAGCGGGGACGAAGATGTTTTTAAATTTTGGGACAATATGGTCTAATAAAGAGAACATTTCTATACATTAAATATAATTTCCCTACGAATTTAAAGCTGTGCCTAAACTGGTTCTGATGATGGAGTGGACCTTAATCCACTGCTGTTCAAACAGAAGGAATGGCTGACACCAGTGGGAACCCAGAGCGCTGCCACTGGGCCCAGTTCAGATGATCCAGACTAACTGGGTCCAGTTTAGCTGCCAGAATAAAGCTGCTGTCCATGTTTGGAACGGGCCTCAAATCCCAACATCATCAGGAAACGATTGTTGGATTATAGCTGGAATCTCAACCGTTGGTTTGTTTTAACCACATAAAGGAAAGTTTATTTATTTCCTCCTAAGCTTCTTATCCAATCAAATCATGTAGGAAGTTATTTTAATCCAATAACTTTAGACTGTCGCCTGTTGTTCTGTGAACAAACCCAACTGGCTGCAGACGAAGGTCACTGGTTCAAATCCTGGTCGGATAATTGGAATAAATTCACCAGAGCTTCCCCTGAAGTTTATTATCTTCATCTTCACGTCGCAGACTGAGCTAAAAACCAGTAAAACACGCAAATTAAGATAAAACAAACACAAAGAAGAACGAATTAAAATGGTTAAAAACCAGAATCAACGAATTTAAGCCTAATTTTATGTTTGAGAAGCAAAGTTTGTCTGAAAGGATTTAAGATAAACGTGATTAAATGTGTTCAAATCAATTCACAATTCAAACCCAAGAGATTAAAAAAAAAACATCATTTGGTAAAAATTATTTAAGTTAAAATAAAGTTAATGTTTATTTATTTATAGAGTGGAGCTAATAGCAGACAGGACTGGTTTTAAATAAACACTGTTTGGTTATTTTTAACAATAATTTTAGAAAATGGAAACACGAACAATAATGTCCCATTTAAACCCTCATTAGCTTTCTAAACATTAGCATTAGCGGCTATCATGTTAGCATGATTAGCTTCCCGCTAACTTTACCAAACAGTAACACCTGAAAGATCAGAAATCATCACAAACTTAAATGATTGAAGCTAAAAATCTTTCCCTAACTTTCCCAGGCGGCGGCGGGCGTCGCCCTCGGGTTCGCCTTCGGTGCGTCTCACGGCCCCCGAGGGCCCGAACCCGCAGGCGGCTCCCTGCAGTGCCGCCTTTATCTCTGTGGAAAGATGGCGGCCACACTTTATCCTTGACAGGAAACGGTTTGAGATATAAAAACACGTCAGCACAAGAAAAGCAACACGAGGAAAACATGTGAGAAAACATTGGAGGCGGAGCCTCACACGCTGACATTGATCATCAGCTGGATGTTCAGTTTGTCCATGAAGGCCGTCGCCTGATGGGAGGGAAGTTTATCATGCGCCGCTACAGATGCATCCACAGGTGGCCGCGGGTAGGGGAGGGGGGCTGGCGCCATAACAACCAGATAAGGTTTGATGGGGGGGGGGGGGGGGATAAGCTGTTCTCTGAGCAGCAGAGCGTCTGCCTCCATGTTTGGACGCCGTTTCTTTCACTCTAATGATCTATAACTGATCATTCAGGAATGGGACGGGGCTGGGGCCCCCGGAGGGCCCCCTGTTTTGAGCTGCTTCGGTTCTCCTTCCTTTCCTGTTTCTCAGTTGTGGGCCCATCTATGGGATCTAGGTCTCAGCTGAAGGCAAAGTCGGGCCTTTCCGTTCCTCCAGCCAACAGCAGCTCATTCCCTCCTGTTCTGTTCTTCCATGTTTGGCGTCCGCTCCATCGGACCTGGACCTCTGAGTTGACCCAGAGGGCGGGTCTGTTATCTGACCTTCAGCAGCGCTCGCCAGAATGCGGTTCCAAGTTTTATAAATGGAGGAAGAACATTTCCAGCAGAGTCTGAGGTCTGGATGAACTATGCGTGGCGAGCGGCTCTGCGGCGGTTCTGATCCGAGGAGCCTCCTCGCTCCGTCTGGCCTGTTTATGTTGGATCAGGCATGAAGCTATGAATATGCTCATTTATCCCACAGACCACAGGGACGGCGGGGGGAGCGGGGGCTGCTGGGGGGAGGGGTTGGCCTAGATGGTCTCTGACTCATGGGGCGAGATGGTGGCGCTCTGCTCAGGCTGCTTAGAGGGTGGCTTCAGGTTAATGATCCGCCGCACCTGCTGCTCCAGCAGATTAACCTGGAGGGACCGGGACAACAAGTCATCCGAGTCACGTCCAGAATCAGCAGGGAGGAGGAGGAGGAGGAGGAGGAGGACCTGTTCTCCTCGTCCTGCAGCAGATTGGATGAAGAAAAGCTGTAAAGCAGCTTCTAGGCGTCTCCATGACGACGTCTATTTCTACGTTATTAGAAGAACAATAATGATCATTGTTCTTCTAATAATTATTACATAAACTCCTCAGCTTTCAGAAATAATTATTAATTATTTCCTCTCCAAATAGAGCGTTGTCATGGCAACGCTGCTGCAACATTATGCAACAAAAGGCTGATTGTTGAGAAGCAATAATGGGGAGCGATGATGATGATGATGATGATGATGATCGGATGCTTTTGATGGATCCAGTTAATCAGTGACTCCTAAAAGCATCAGGCTCTGCTCCTCCCTGGGCTGCTCCTCCTCCTCCTCCTGGAGGAGAGGACGGCTCTCTTTCTCCTTCCTCAATCATTGATCGCAGGAAGGATGAAGCGGAGCTTCTGTTCACGGCCCGGATCTTTGTCTGGGAGGATTTAGAACGGGGGAACAGGAGGTTCCTGGGAATGGGGGGGCCTGGGCTCCCCTCCTGAGGGAGGCGGGAGGAGGCCTGAATGAATCCCAGAGGGCAGGAGGTGACTGAGACAAAGCAGCTCTGCAGCCTGATGCTTCCTGAAGGAACTACGGCTGAATGCAGATCAGCTGCTGCTCAGGCTGGGCCGCTCTGTGGAGGGATAGAGCTGCAGAACATAGAGCTGCAGATATAGAGCTGCTGACATAGAGCTGCGGACATAGAGCTATATATAGAGAGCTGCAGAACATAGAGAGAGCTGCAGAACATAGAGCTGCTGACATAGAGCTGCGGACATAGAGGTTCAAATATAGAGCTGCAGACATAGAGCTATATATAGAGAGCTGCAGAACATAGAGAGAGCTGACATAGAGGTTCAAATATAGAGCTGCGGACATAGAGCTATATATAGAGAGCTGCAGAACATAGAGAGAGCTGACATAGAGGTTCAAATATAGAGCTGCAGACATAGAGCTGCAGAACATAGAGCTGCAGATATAGAGCTGCTGACATAGAGCTGCGGACATAGAGCTATATATAGAGAGCTGCAGAACATAGAGAGAGCTGCAGAACATAGAGCTGCTGACATAGAGCTGCTGACATAGAGCTGCTGACATAGAGCTGCGGACATAGAGCTGCGGACATAGAGCTATATATAGAGAGCTGCTGACATAGAGCTGCTGACATAGAGGTTCAAATATAGAGCTGCAGACATAGAGCTGCAGAACATAGAGCTGCTGACATAGAGCTGCTGACATAGAGCTGCAGAACATAGAGCTGCTGACATAGAGCAGCAGAACATAGAGCTGCAGAACATAGAGCTGCTGACATAGAGCAGCAGAACATAGAGCTGCAGAACATAGAGCTGCTGACATAGAGCAGCAGAACATAGAGAGAGCTTTAGAACATAGAGCTGCTGACATAGAGCTGCAGGACATAGAGCTATATATAGAGAGCTGCAGAACATAGAGCTGCTGACATAGAGCTGCTGACATATAGCTGCTGACATAGAGGTTCAAATATAGAGCTGCAGACATAGAGCTGCAGAACATAGAGCTGCAGATATAGAGCTGCGGACATAGAGCTATATATAGAGAGCTGCAGAACATAGAGCTGCAGATATAGAGCTGCAGACATAGAGCTGCAGAACATAGAGCTGCTGACATAGAGCTGCTGACATAGAGCTGCGGACATAGAGCTGCAGAACATAGAGAGAGCTGCAGAACATAGAGAGAGCTGCAGAACATAGAGCTGCTGACATAGAGCAGCAGAACATAGAGAGAGCTGCAGAACATAGAGCTGCTGACATAGAGCAGCAGAACATAGAGAGAGCTGCAGAACATAGAGCTGCAGACATAGAGCTGCTGACGTAGAGGTTCAAATATAGAGCTGCAGACATAGAGCTGCGGACATAGAGGTTCAAATATAGAGCTGCAGAACATAGAGCTGCTGACATAGAGCTGCGGACATAGAGCTGCAGAACATAGAGAGAGCTGCAGAACATAGAGAGAGCTGCAGAACATAGAGCTGCTGAACATAGAGCGGCAGAACATAGAGCTGCAGAACATAGAGCTGCAGAACATAGAGCTGCTGACATAGAGCTGCTGACATAGAGCTGCTGACATAGAGCTGCAGAACATAGAGAGAGCTGCAGAACATAGAGAGAGCTGCAGAACATAGAGCTGCTGACATAGAGCTGCTGACATAG